GGATGTAGAGGATTTGATTATCCTGCAAGTTCAGACCAGGTACCTGCAACAAGCGATCAACTTCACGAGACATTGCCGTCCAACGCTTTTGCCTTATGGTAGTGAGCTCATCAAAGGCCTTGTCGACCGTCGTTTTGTTAAGGAATCCCTCCTTATCTTTTGGAGAAATTCCTTGAGGGTCAATGTTTTAACCTACTCCCCAATGTCTTCAAAACCAGCAGCGTTGGCTTCAGACAATACCCATTATTTTGCTACCTCACCCAAACATGAGGTAGTGAAAGCCCCTGGGTTTTCGGCTCTACCGGTGCAGTACTACAATAGGTCTAGATTTCCGCGATCCAGAGCAACAAGTGTTCCCCTCGCTTTCCATTGTAGGTGAAAGGAAGTTTCATCTTCACTTTTTCTTTCCTTTTCGGTTTTTCTACTTCCTTGGCCGGTTCTTTCGTGGCGGGCTCTTCTTTCTTTTCTGCCAGTTTCTCAAGTTCTTTCTTGAAACTCTCTGGTCTTTCCGGTGTCACTTTCTTCATTGCATCTTTCATTAGTTTCTCCTGGAGTTCTTTCTTTTCTTCTCCCCCATTGGCCTCCTCCTCGACCACCACCTTGTCTTTTCCCTTCCCTTCACAAGTCTAGTCACCGTCTGCCATGTGGCGGTGCTGTTGTCAATTTTCATTTCAAGGTGGGCTAGATACGCCATCATGTTGTTCAAGACAGATGCAAGGTCAGTCTCTGTTCCCTCAAATATAAATCGTTATCTGATTTCCTCTACTTTTTTCTCTTGTTGTTCTTTCTCCATTTTCATCCTCCGGTATTCTTCCATCTTTCTTCTCTTTGCATTCAATGCATCTTCCAGTTGTTTGATATTACCTTCCATTATCTCTTCAGACAATTCAGGCTCCTTCATTTCTTCCCTCTTTCCTTCTTTGTCCTCTCCTTGATCAGCTATTTTCGCATACTGCTCAGCCACATATCGATCAAGTGCTATTCACGCTTGATTGATAGTGTCATGTACCCTCCTGCTGGTCTCCATCATCTGGGCAACTGTATCAACTTGCTGTAGTTCGGTTTCTGCCGCGCGGAAATCGAACAAGCTTACATGTTGTCTAGCTTCAGGGCCAGCATTTTGTACTTCAGCAAGCAACGTACGAGGACGAGTCAGCATTAGCTGTTGTCTCTTGTTAGTTTGACTACGTGTCCGCAACACTCCCTCCTCCTCATCATCAAACAATGTGAGAGTGATGGGGTAGAAGAAGAGGGGTATAAATCTCATGAGAATGGAAGCACTCAAACATTTCCAGATGAAAGGCATTTTCGCAAGGTGTGTCTGTCGCAGAATAAATAATTACAAGACAATAATAAATTCCATGGCCACACCCGGTTTCAATATACTACAGCAAGGAAAGAAAATAAACAAAATAATCAAGGAACAAATTTTGAATATTTCCTATTTCTAATTTTTGTTCTGTCCTATGTTTGACGACGTCCTAACGAGAGTGTACAGGTACCGCAGCCACGACCAGTGTGATCAAGACACAACAACACAGGTGATCATGCACGGCAACCACATAACAGCCAAGACGAGTGAGTAAGTCAGCCAACACAACAACAACAATCGATTGTCAACATCCTTTCCTCTTCGGCTACACCATCTGCAGTGACCAATCCGGCGCGTGCCACTACAACCAATCGTGAAGCTGTACCGCCCGCCAGCACACAAGCGCAAGTATCAACTTCTCACCAACGGCAGGGCACGTCCGCTGCCACATGTCACCCTGGCATGCCAACGCAGCACCTCCGTGGAGTTGCCACATCAGGCATTCAATGACCAATAGGCCGTCAAGAAGGTTGCCACGTCAGCAACGCGCCAACTGCCTGAGCATCCATCGCTGGTATGCCACGTCAGATCGAAGTACCGCTGGAGTGTGGAGCGCCACGTCAGCAGGTAAGTCGAGACACAGGTACGTGCCACGTCAGACAATACCCTGCCAATACTAGGATTCTATGAATCCTCCGCGGTCGCGGTCGCTGCGGGCACGACCGCGGACCGCAGTCTCGGCCGCGAGGTCGCGGTCATGAGAAAAAAAAGAAGAAGAAAAACGAATTCAGAAAAATCTGAAACAAATACATGTTATGCCCAAAAATAACCTGAACAACTGTTGCCTTGGGGTCATATCAAAATTCGTTACCAAATTTGAGATAAAAATCAAACAAAATCCTTTATTTTTCTTACTAAAAGAATAAAGTGAAGGACTTTTGCCTGAGGGATTCCTGTTTTTCATTTTTTTTAAATCGAAAAAGAAGTCCAAAAATAAAACTAAAAATATACGGTTGTAGAGCGCACAAAAACCTACAACCCCTTTTTTTTTTTTTTTTTTTTTTGGCCTATTATCCCAGGATTTAAAAATGTCGGGGGTTTTCGACCGCACTTGGCCGCGGCCGCCGCCCGCTGCGGTCGGGATGCCGACCGCGTGCGGTCAAATGGCCCGCGGTCACGACCGCGGGGATACTTAGGATGCCACGTCATCACCCCTGCGCCATGCCACGTAGGCAGCGTGCCATGTCCGCAGTCCTGATTCCCCACTCTCTCTCTCTCTTCCATGAGCGCCACGTCAGCCCGCATCCAACGATGATCTTGCCGGTATCTGATCGCCAGGTCAGTAACAAGGCGCCACGTAAGCAATGTTGCCGTCTTCTCTACAAGGTGTCCACGTCATCATCTTCAAGCAAGCGTGCGCGCACACGTGGCAGTCAATGTCTAGTCTCGCAATAATAATCGCACACGTTAACAAACACGTTTCTTTCCATTCACACGCGGCACTGCCCACTTACCTGGACACCATGTGGCGCCTGACAGCAGACCGCGACGAAGAAGGTAAGCTCCGATATCAAATTGTAATGTACCCAGTCGTGAAGATACTCGTCAAGTGTTGAAGTACAAGAAAACTCATCGCTGAATAATGTCTCCAATAATCATGAATGTGATCTGTAATACAATGTCTCGTAGCCAATGGACAAAGAGAGGAGAGGGGGAATAGACAATTTAGAGGGTGGAAGATATAGTATCCATCAATGACCACGGAGATAGTATCCGTCAATGACCACAGAGATAGTAGCCCAACATTTCCCTCTTCTTCTCTGGGCTTCCCGCTCGACCCCACGTCAGCAAACAGTGTCCAATAACGAGCCTGACAGGTCCTGATCACATCAACGTGCCACATGGCACAGTTCTCCCGTGAAGACGTTCAGCAGCGTACAGTATTGACATCACCAGCAGGTAAGTATCCCCTCCTCTATCATCCACAGATCTCGATCTCCCTCCTTGTCGTGTCCAACTCAACAATGAAGACAGTGTGGCAAATGCCACGTCAGCAATGAAGACAGAGTGGCATGGGCCACATCAGCAATGTCGAAGACAGCGTGGCTTGCACCACGTCAGCAGAGGCTGGCGCCAAGACAGGGAGCCGCCAGCAAGCAAGCAAGCAGTCTCACGTCGTTGTCCACAGTGCCAGCGTCTAGCCAGCGTCCACCCAGCGTCAAGTAGCAAGACTGAATGTCGACTCCCCGAAGGCAGGCTCTTATGTAGCATTTGGCCGGGTAGACCTGCCTCAGGTCTCCCACCCACGGTGGCTGAGATTGACTCGCAGTCGACGACCCGGATCCCATACAGTTGCAGACTTCCACTTGGCCTGAATGCTGTCTTAGTACCTGCATACAAACAAGTGCATGTGTCTGACGGGCGGCTTGGGCTGGGTCCATGGTGACTTTGACTGAGGGTGGTGTACAGTTGACTTTTAGTCAACTGTCTGGTGCAGGGCCCCTAATTCCACACATTTGGGGTCCTGTCTCTACGTAGAGCAGCCTAAGCCGACGTCAGACCTGGGGCCCTTAGACAGGTTACGAGGCATAATTAACAGGTTATTGCGATATCCAATGCAAAGCAAGCCATTACGAGTGGCTGACCATCAAGAGACCAAACAGCATGTTCATCCACAAAAAGAGTGGTACTCTAGGAGAAAAACGGCCCACAAATCTTACAAGAGTATAGAGTCTACCAACGTTTAAACTCTTAAGTCATTTGCAGAAAAGCAGCACCCTGGTGTACCAATGGGCCATGCATGTGTGTGTTTCTGATTTTGGCGTTTTGCAGTCGTGCTGCCTCGACAATGTTGCCTCGTGCTTCCCTGAGTTGTTACCAGCTGCTATGTTACATTTGTGGACAGTCTGCCGTCAACAAGGGTCAAAGGGTTCATGACCCAAGCCATCAATACGGCCATACCGCAGACTGTCGAGGGTTCAGCCTCTTGATTCGTCGGTGCAACTCCGACAAAACAATCTCTCACTATCAGTTTTTGTTTTTTGGGTCTTTGCATTTTGATGGGACACATTGGGTTTTTGTTTTTTTTCCCTTTTGTTGTTGTTTGCTTTTTGCTGGAATGTACAAAACACCCAATCCTGGTAAGGTACTGGGGCATTAAAAGGACACTGTCACGCCCTTCTGCCAAAAACAAGAAGGAAAGAAAACAAAAAATTAAAAAAAAACAAAAAGATTTCGGTTTCTTTTGCAGGTGCCCGTTCTGACGGGCACTGTTTCCTTTGTGAAAGTAGGATTTTTTTTCGCTTTTTTTTCAGATGTTCTTTATTTCGGGAAGGAATGCACTAAGCGTTTTATTGTGGGAAGATACGGGCATGTCTGGTAGTGCACACTAAGCGCCTTATGCAAAAGACAAAAAAAACTGAGTACGGACGCCGCCCGGCCGGGTGGGCCGCAGGGGCAAACTGGGCCGGCAAAAAAAAAGCCCAGAATTTTTTTTTTTTTTTTTTGAAGGCGGGGTCCTCCTGTGCTCGGCAAGAGGACCCCGAATCTGCAATAAAATTCTGGATGGATGGATAGATAGATAGATAGATAGATAGAGAGATAGAGATAGATAGATAGATAGATAGATAGATAGATAGATAGATAGATAGATAGATAGATAGATATAGAGAGAGAGAGAGATTCTTACCAGAGAACGAGCTATATGTAGACCAAGCCCCGTTCCGCCAAACCTGAAAAACGGCATCAGAGGTCAAATTCAGTGGATGCTTTTTTTTCATTTTTGACAAAAGAAATGTATTAAATACTATTAAATTATTAATGCTTAGGACCCTGGACCCTGTTCTCTTCTGGATGTCCGCTATAATTGGAATGATACACAGAAGATTAGCAAACAAAAAAAAGGGGAAAAAAGAAGTCATTAAAAGGGCCTTTACCCGATATAGGCCTCAGGCCTTGTAAAAATAAAGCAGCACGGGCCTTGAAAAAGTAAAGCATTGTGAAAAGGTATCTTGTCAGAGCTCAGAAACGTGAAAGCAGGTCAAAGGTCAAGTTCTCTATCAACAGGCATATTTAAAACTAAGGCAAAGGGCATTGTCAAAAGACTTACCTGTTCACCAGGAGATGTGTATGTCATGTCTGTTTGGGTAAGGGTGTGTCTGTACGTGCAA